CTAATCATTTGTCTCAGGTGTGTTGACCCAGGGTGAGATCTAAAACCTGCAAGACACCAGCCCTCGAGGCCTGGAGTTTGACACCCCTGCTTTACATAGACAGGGAACTCCAACAATCAGACGACCCACCTATGAGAAAGGACTTGGTGATGGTAAGAAGCAAAAACGTCCTTTTAACAGGAAGAAACCAGCGTAACCATGCTCGGGGAGGGGTGGTTGTCGGCCGTGGCCGGTTGAAGATGAAGTAAAAGAGAAGAGCGCAGAGGGAAATAGGACGAAGACATAGAGGGCAGAGAGCTAGATTTTAAAATTATTAGTGGTATAATAGTGACAGTGACACATAGTGAGAGGTGGGTGAAGAAGAAACACTGCCCCCAGCAGCTTACCCCTATTGCAGCATAGCTAAGGGTCACCTGATCCAGCACTAACTATGAGCTTTATCAAAAAGGAAGGTTTAAAATCTAATTCCAGACATGGAGAGAGTGTATGTCTCCCAAATCCAAACTGGGAGCCCGTTCCACAAGTAAGTCGGCAGTCTGAGAGCTAAGAGCTCCACTGGGACACTATGGTACTATGAGGTATTTAATATATGATGGAGCCTGATTATTCAAGACATTTTATGTGAGCAGAAGGATTCCAAATTCAATTCTGGATTTAACACAGAATCAGTGAACAGAAGCAAATGAGGGAGAAATGTGCTCTGTCTTTCTAGCCCAACCAGTACTCTCACTGGAGCAATATGGATCAACGGAGGGCTTTTTAAGGAACGTTTAGAACAACCTGATGAAAATGAATTTCAGTAGTGGAGCCTAGAAGTAATAAATGCATGAACTAATTTTTCAGCATTACTCTAAGGATGTTCCTAGTTTTAGAGCTTTTGCAGATATGCAAGACGGCAGTCCTGCATATTTGTTGAATGTGCACACTGAAGAAAATATCCTGGTCCTGATTCCTCACAGAGGCCAAGGTAATATAATCTAAAATAACTATCTGATCAGACACCATGTTTTTAAAATTTTTAGGGCAAAACACAATAACCTCAGTTTTGTCTTTATTCAGAAGTAGCAACTTAGAGGTAATCTAATATAAAAATATTAATTAAAATATCATTTAAAACAGTATTTTCTATTCACCTGGGTTATGTTTGGTTCCTATGTTTTTTAACTGAATATAACTGAATACATAAACCTACATGAAAAAAGTTTTTTCATACCTTGATTACATTTTTTCTGCACTATTTGCTAAAAACAAGTGAAACACAGACATTTTTAAAAGTCTCAAAAAAAACTGTTGAGTCTTTACACCAAACCCATTTTAAGTTAAGTATGTGGAAAATAAGAATGCATTTTCTTTGAGGACTTTAAAGCCAACTTACACAAATACATCCACTACCATCTGTTAAAGGGCTAAATCACTGGTTACTTTGGAATACACATACATGATTGCCAGTTAACAATATAATGTTAAATCTCATGTATCACCACAAATCATTTTAATAACAGGGAAGAAGCATACAGTATGTGCCACCTATCAATGTGAACAGTAATATGGATACAGACGTACTAGGAGCTGTGCAGTACATTACTGTATTACAGACTGTGTTACTTTATAATGTGCCCACACTGTGACTGTGTCTGTGAAAGTTCTCAGTCATCCAGGTCATCGTAGTCTAAGAGCTTGGAAAGAAACACGTCTGGACAGCAACTTAAAGAAGTTCAGGTGCTTTTCTTTGTATAGTTTGCATACATCGACGTTTTTATCTATAGTTTGCAATTCATATGTCCATGCTTCATTAAAAAAAATCCTTCTCACTTGCATGTTTTAACAGCATAGATCTTAAGATTTTTCACTCCTAAGATTTTTGCACAGCAAACTTGTAACTTTGCAAACTTTTTTCTGCCTTGGTTTGCAATTGACCATTCCTGTGAAGTTATAAAGTAACCACTTAAACCACTGTACTTACCACACCTTTCAAATAACCCTGCATACCTCCATAGCTTAAATGGTTTGAAAAGTGCAGCCCATTGCTGCTCAGCTCCATGAAGCGCACAGGCTTTATTGCAGGCATTGATTTATGGCTTCACAAACATGTCAGATTTACTGCTGTGGTGTAAAGAGCATGAAGACTACAGCCTCGGACTCTCCCCGTCCATTCATTTTTGACAGGTGACAAGACACCAGTAATTATCAGCCACCGAGAATAAATCACAAGATTTTATCACGCAGCTCGCCGTGCCCTTGACAGAATAACAATTTTCAAGCAGGGGGAACCAGTCCAACGCTGCTGAACCTAAGATTTGTAAATCTCTTGCTCAAACCCCCATAATGACTGGTTGTTAGCCGTTTGTTATTAGAGGTCTGTGTGCCAAACATTATAGATGTATTTTTCCTAAGGGATAGTTAGGGGTAATAAGTGAGTAAAGTCCAGGCTCGCTAACCTTGGCTTTGCAGTGGTATGTTAATGTATGTTTTTG